TGTGATAATTATATTTCATGTTTATATATATATATATATATATATTAATATTACCTATGTCTTGTCTTGTCACTGTCATTCTGTTGCACTGTGGAGCTTCTGTCACTAAAACAAATTCCTCGTATGTATATATATATACACACACACACACACACACGTTGTTACGTTAGCGTTGAAGTGAAGTTAAATTAAACATGTTTTGAACATTAAAGGGATGCTGTTTTACTTGGACACTATAGCCCAAGAACCCACGCACATTTTTTCTTTCTTCCTTGTTTTTCACGTGATCTCACCTTAATTTTCTTTAGGATGATGTGGAGAACAGGTTATTCTGAGCAAACATGCTTAGTTTCATTTATATATTTTTAGGCAAATAAGAAACTACAAAAAGTATTACCAGTAAAAAAAGGTGATGGTAGAAATTATAGTTTCTTTAATTTGTTACAACAAAGGAATACTAACATGGTAACTTCTGACCAAAAAGAGGGGCAATTAAGAAAACTTTTTCTTAGCTATTCACATTTCCCAAATTTGAGCAAGTAGGCTATTGCTTTGAAAATAACAATCAAATCAAATCTTCACTTGGATTAAATGGATTCTTCCCTTCTGTTCCTTCTAATCACATCCAGCGCAAATTTCTGTACACTGTAATATTTTCTTCCACTATTATGCATGTCCCACCTGACCTGCCATTTCTTCATCATTTCATTTTTGATCATTGCCTTAACTTCTTTACCAAAGGGAATGTTTATAACATCCAGGATGTTTCCCACCAGCATTGCACATTATGTCTCCCTCATCAACACACCTGATTCAACTCTTCAGCTCATTAGAGACTGCAAGACCTGAAGTGGGTGTATGTCAGATAAGCGAGAGATACAAAATGTCCAGACTCCAAAACATAAAATGGGAACATGGTTGGGAACCCCTGCTGCACTACAGCAGTGGGTGGTCTTCATAGTACACTTTTGTAACCCACAATAAAATATGGGTTAAATGAGTATAGGAGTATAGCTTTCTGATGTTCAGGAGGAGGTTAGGCCACTAGAGGGAGCCATAGGATAAGGAATCGTTTAAGCCTAATGT